GAAACTGAAAAAAAAAAAAAAAAAAAAACAGAACAAAAGAAAGAAAAAAACAAGATCATTAAACACATTGTTTATGTTTTTTTTTCTCAAACTCCAAATGTTTTGCTTTCAGCTTTACCTCAACTTGATTCTGCAAAGACTGCACATAATTGATTATCTCATCCAACATCACTGCCATTCCCATTGTCTGTACAAGACAATGTCATAAGAGAAGTTATAAGAAACTTGTGTTTGTTTTCATTTAAGGTTGTCTTCAATTTTCATTACCTTGTAGCATCCAGGGACAATGTCTTGCAAACATCTCAATCTTTCATTGATTTTTCCTCTTCTTATCTGTTTGTGGAGAATAATGTTTGTATCATTTCAAAAAGAAAAAGAACAAGAAAAAGACCATGAAGTTTATGCAAATTTACCCTTTCTGCTATACTGTGACTGTCTGTTGCTTGACCTCTTTTGGCTCTAACATGAACCACTTCCCTCGGTTTCTCACCGTCGTTTTCGTCGCCTTTTTTCGACCGCTTTCCTTTTCCAGAGTTCTGCAGACATGAAAATGAGAACACCCCAATGAGAGTTGTGTAGATTGACAATAATATAGCCAAAAGAAGGGGTTTTTGGATGAGTTGAATACATTTTTAGTCTGAGGGGTTGAGTTGCCAGAGCTGCTCTCAGATGCCTCATTTTGAAGCCTTCTTTTCTTGCTTCCATGGAGGTCACTTCCAGATGGATTTGTAGGCTCAAAGACAGGTGCAGTGATCTGATTTGCTTGACAGAAATTTTCTCCCCAAATTTCCGGGAATCTGGGAGGAACAGCAGCTTGATTGCCAAAGAAACTGTCGTTGAACAGAACAGGAATGTTGTCAAGAAAATTCAGACTTGGAATTTGGTTGGGATCCATGTCCATTAGAGGAAAAGGTGAAGGCTTTAAGCTCTGGAAGTTTGCAGTAAACTCAGCCATGGAATCTTTGAAACCAAACCTTCCAAAGCCCAACTGTGTTTTTGGATAATGAAGCTCTAAAGCTGTTATTTATAGTGTGGGATTAGTGTATGATTGAGTCTCTCTCATTCTCAATTTAAAGCTTTTTTAATAAAACAATGAAAATTAAGGGTCTGGTCTCATTGGCCCTCCAAAAATGGACCCCATATTTCATAAGGCATATCCAATAATGATAAGCTTTTGGCTCTTTGCTCTGAATATTCCTTTAACTTATCCACAAAAGCCCTTGTTTTGAGAATACCAAATTGCAGCCTCAAATAACTTCATTACAGCAAAGTGAAATGGAAGTGAGAATGTTGGCATTTGAAGAGAAATTTGGTTGAGATCCCACGTCGGTCGGTTAGGGAGGAGAATGAAGCATTTTATATAAGGGTGTGGAAACCTCTCCTTAGCAGACGCGTTTTAAAAACTTTGAAGAGAATCCCGAAAGGAAAAGCCTAAAGAGGACAATATCCGTTAACGGTGGGTTTCGACGTTAGAAATGGTATTAGAGCTAGATACGAGGTGATATGCCAGTGAGGAGGCTGAGCCCTAAGGGGATGGACATGAGGCAGTGTGCCAGCAAGGATGTTGGGCCTCGAAAGGGGGGTGGGGGGTCCCACATCGATTGGAGAAGGGAACGAGTGTCAACGAGGATGCTGGGCCCCTAAGGGGGTGAATTGTGAGATCCCACATCAAACATATTTTATGTAAGGGTGTGGAGACCTCTCCATAGCAGACGCGTTTTAAAAACCTCGAGAAGAAGTTTAAAAGGAAAAGGCGAAAGAGCTTATCGGTGCAATCCCTTTAGAAAATGACCACCATAAAGGTCAACTTTTCATACATGCTAAAGAGAAATTGATAGGAAAGTGTACTATTTATAAGGTGAGCCATCCTTTTCGAAAGGGTATAAATCACTATATTGTAGTGCACTTCCCTCATAATATGCTTTGTTTTGTGCAAATGTGAAATGAACCTGGCCGACATTGATGATTACCAAAATGAAACATTTGGAAATGTTAATGTATCTGATCTCCTAATTGACCAACAACATGTTTTCTGTTAGATTATCATTTTCTTCCCATAAAGTTTGAAGCTTTTAAGGTATGTGGTTTCATTTAATAAAGTGGGAGAAGTATCAACATCTTCATTAGAAAGTTATAGCTTGATTCATTGTCATAACCTAAGTGTTAATAGCAACTAAAGTACAAAATTCTAAGCTTATCTATAACATACATGGTTCTAATAGAAACAAGTCTTTGACGTTTATAAAATATCAAAAGTAATATTAAAAAAATATGAATCCTTCTTAAACAAGAGTCAAAATTTACGAGAAAATTAATAGCTTGAAAACTATAAGATTTCACATCAATTAAAGAGATGAATGAAACATTTTTTTATAAGAGTGCGAAAACCTTTCACTAACCGCGCGAGCTGCTCTCCTGTACGGTCCTCAGGCCCTTCGGTTGTGGGCCTATGGAAGCTTCAACTCATTTGTGGTTTGGTTTGGCTCTCTAAAAGGGCCTCTTTTTAGCTGAACTCCACTTTTGTAATAGGATTTATACATGCCTACTCACCTTACCTACATAGTCTTATTTTACAAGAAAGTATACTTTTTTTTCTACCCTTTTTAGGAAGCATATGAGTGAAGACAAAATATATTAAAATGACCCGTATTGGTTTGAAAGTATAGCTGTCACTCTTAGAATCAGTTCAAGACAAGTAAGTATCGGGAGATCCATTGGAGAGGGAACAAAGCCTTGCTTACGAGGGTGTGGAAACCTCTTCCTAGAATACGCGTTTTAAAAACCGTGAAGCTGATGGCAATACAGATCCCACATCGATTGGAGATGGGAACGAAACACTAAGGCGATACGTAACGATATCTACTAGCGGTGGACTTGAGCTGTTACAAGTATGATGATCATGTTACATAGAGTCGTCAAGTTCCGAATCAAGATTCCAAATCTTGATTCGAATCATGGGCGTGATGCATTACAAATCTAGAGATAAGACGTTAAACCCATCTAGATGGAGAAGTTGTGCGCTTTAGACTGGACATGTCATTTTTCTATAGGTAGTGTAAAGTAAAAATGTGACCGTAAAAGTTTGAAAGATCATAAATTTAGTAGAAGGGGTAGGTCAGTTATTGCTATCGGTAAGAAACCATATTTTATAGGAAGATTTGGAGGGTAAGGCTAAGGGCAAGGCTGCTGCTTGTGCTTCAGGAGTATAATTTGGTCAAACATATTTATTTCTGATCTGCCAACCAAAACCAGAAGGCTCCAATGGGCTTCTGATCTCATTTGTCAAACACTAAGCCATGATGTTGAAGTTAATTATCCGTTTTATTTAATTCATGCTGGCCGCCGCTGATCAAGCTCCCTAATTTTTCTTTCTCAGTAGTTAATTTTATCTTTAATGCCTTTTCTTCTCATTGTCTTGACCAATCTCTACCTCTTTTTTCATGTGGAATATCCTTCTCATTCCATTTCGTATATACCGATCGAGTTCATTGACGACGTCGTGAAGCTGTTTTTCTTTCGAGTTCGGAATCGTTGTGGTTGATCAGAGCATAAAAATGAGTTTCTTCATACATGGTGCCACTGATCTGCATCTTCCTCTTCCTTTTGCTGTGAAAATTTCAGCAAATCAGGACTGATATTAGACAGAGAAAATCGCAACATGGGGAATGTCCACGTCTCATCGTAAGGATCGTTTTGTATTTTGAATCATAAGGGGTTTATTAGATCTCGGTGCACAGATGTCCTAGGTTGTTTAAGTCCCAAAGTGACTGCAATGAGCATAAGTCCCACACCAACCTAACGGCAATCACACACTTGAACGTGAGAGCAATGAATCACCCAAAAGGGAGGCAAGAATCATGCTTTTAGAGAAGCGACCGTTCAAATCTTAACTAAATTGCAAGAATAGTTAACTAAGTCATGCCTATGTACAGGCTCATTCTCCAAACGATACGAAGCCAAACTTTTAGGTTGTTTAAGTAGATTAAGTGATAAATCGATCGTAACAATACTCCAAGATATAAACAAGGGTGATAAATGTCGAGTATACAACGATGCCACCCGGTTTCGTTTGGTCGAAGTCCCTAGTAGAGGAAAGAAATTGTTGTAGGTGATCGGTGCATTTTGCTTCTAATCTATAAAGGGGTGTCGAAATCGTTCCTAGCTCAATAAAATTTAACTTCAAAACTAACAATAAGGACTAATTTTAAGATTTACCGTGCGAAAACTATTGATATTTGAATAGTAATTAGCGTCTCATCTACTCAGCTTTAAATAGTCGGTAGACTAAAATAACGAGAATGACATGATAACATCCGTCGATTTCAGCTCAAATCTGATAGAAAGAATTGAAGAACAAAACTGAGAGAAGGGGAGGGGAATTTGAATTTGAGATGGTATCCCATTTGAAAGGTGGTGGTTTGCACACAAAGTTGCTATGGGATAACAAAGGCATTAATTTGCAGCCATTCCCTCTTTTTTACAGCTGAGCAAAGCTGAAAGTCAAACTTAGCTGCAATAACAAATCCCATAAAAAAACTTTTCAACCCCTTCTTTTTCTTGCCTTGGGCACCAAATTCTTTGAAAAAACACACGCTCCAATGTTCCCCTTTAAGACGGTGCCGGTTAGAGATAGTGTTAGGAATCACAAATCTCTACAGTGCTATGACATTGTCCACTTTGAGCATAAGCTCGACTTCCCCAAAAGACTCCGTACTAATAAAGATGCATTCCTTTGCTTATAAAACTCCGACCCACGAACTAAATAAAGATGTCATTGCTTATTGTTAACGTTTTGGAAACTTCCCCATAAGGAATAAAGGGTATGTTGTGGAATTCGAAGGAAGCTGAAAATGCCGCCACCCAGAAGCAAACATTAATTAGAACAGTAGTTTAAAGTCGTGGTTATGAAGTTATTGGTTCATAGTTAACGATATCTTGTTCAGTCAAGCACGTTTCATAGCCAAACAAAACAAAGAAAAATGGTCCGTGGAAAATTTTGAACATCATTTCGTTTTCAAAGAGATTAAATGTCTTTTTCCTTTCAGGAATCAGTCCAATATGTCATACTTTTGAGTACTTCACTCCAATTTTTCAAGCACCAAAATATATGCCTTCTGCATATAATCATTAATCTCTCTAAATAATTATTTTAATTTAAATTATTTTTAAAATAGCTCGACAATAATTAACATATATTTATTCGGAGGTAAAAACATAATTAAAAGTGAAAAAAATTTAAAATTTTATTTTATTTATGGTTAATGTTTAAAATTTATGAATATTAAAAAATATATTTGACACAATGTGAATGGAAACAATTTGAATTTTCTATAAAAAGAAAAAAATGGAAAACCAGTCGTTTCTACTATTAAATCTAAGACTTGGTTTGAAAAGTAATATATGGATTGATGGTTAATATAATGAGTGGATTCTTAATGGCATTAGAAAATCCAAGTTCTAGAAAAAGGAATAGAATATATAAATAATTATTTTAAATGGATACTAACATTGTATGGAATGTCATCAATCTTGATATCACATAACAAAGATTTATGGAATATTGATATAAAAAGTATCAGAATCAACCATATTTAAAATTTACTTTTTTTTGTTTTCTACGATAGGAATCCGAACAATCAAATTTATGATGCAAAATTATATATTTTTATACGTGTCAGGATATCGTTCATTTATTGTCCATGTTTTACCTAACTACGGACGTTTTATTTTTTATTTCACGTATTTATTGTTAAAATATCATCTTTTGCGTCAAAATCCAATAATTTTATGAATTTATTGTCTATATATTTTTTAAAAATAATTTAAATATTTTAATAATAAATTCATGTAAGTATTTTACTGTAATCTCTTCTCGGTTAGTTTTAATAAATAATGAGTTCAACACTCTTGAGTAAAGATGAGTACATGCTATCGGAATGAGAGTAATCATAAAGATATGATGACATTTTTCTTTTCAGCGATTTAATCCTAAATGTGTTTAGCAATGACCAAACAAACAAACAAATTTTTTTTTAATAAAAACCGGATCAAAACATGTTTTTTATGGATTAAAATTTAGAAATTAAACCCATAATTGAATGTGCAAATTTAAGAGAAAATATGGAGTTGGTTGGGTGGGTAGAAGCAGTGTGAACATTCTCTCTCCCTTGAAGAGTATGTGTATATATATGTGTGTATATATATATATATACACGTTTGGGTGCTTCAAAAGTGGAGAGAGAGAGAGAGAGAGAGAGAGAGAACAGATTATTGCATTCCAAAAAGCATGAGCAGCTGCAGTGAAATTGAAGATGAGAATAATAACAATAACAATGAGGAGGAGGAGCTCCGGAGGGGCCCTTGGACTGTTGAAGAAGACAACCTCCTCATCGCTTCCATTTCTATTCACAGCGAAGGCCGCTGGAATCTCCTCGCCAAACGCTCCGGTAACTACCTATTTTGCCTTCTATTTCTTTTATTTATAGCTCAAATCTTGACGCTTATGTAACCATTTTCAGGGCTAAGAAGGACAGGGAAGAGTTGCCGACTCAGGTGGCTCAATTATCTCAAGCCAGATGTCAAGAGGGGAAATTTGTCGCCCCAAGAACAGCTCTTGATTCTTGATCTTCATTCTAAATGGGGCAACAGGTAATTTGTTCTTGATCTTTTAAGTACCACACAGGCTAATTTAGGGAATGGTCGTGGGTTTATAAGTGACTAATACTAACTCCATTGGTACGAGGCCTTTTGGGGAAACCCCGGCTTTGCTCAATATCATACCATTGTGGAGAGTCGTGTTCGTCTAACAATTTTCATGCTTAAATTTGTGATTGATTTCATTTAAGGTGGTCGAAGATTGCGCAGCATTTGCCGGGAAGAACTGACAATGAAATTAAAAATTATTGGAGAACCAGAGTTCAAAAGCAAGCTAGACATCTTAATATAGATACCGACAGTGACGCATTTCAGCAGATTATTCGCTACTATTGGATCCCAAGATTAATTCAAAAAATCAACCAATCGTCGTCGTTGCCGCCGCCGCCGCCGCTGCCGCCGCCGTCGGAGTTGCCGGGTACTTCTCAAGCAGAGATGGTCTCCCAGAGTTCGTATGGTTTTGAAGCTCCGGTGACGGCGACGCCTCTGCAAATCGGTGGAGATTTGATGGGGAGTTCGTGTAATTCTTCCTCTTCTTCTTCTTCTGGTTTTCAAAATTACGAGAATTACGGGTCGTTTGTGAATGATTATTGGGACGAGGAGCATGGCAGGGGAGAGATGACGAACTGGGCAACGACGGCGGTGACGGGGGATTCTGGTTACCCGGTTGCCCACTGCCACACGGCTGAAACTAATTGGACACACAGCGATTTTACCGGTTACGCGCCCAGTATGGATGAATTATGGCAATTTTAGGAAGAAAAGAAAAAGGGTTTCTTTTTCTTTTTCTCTAAGATAACCCATATAAAAAAATTCTTCATAGATTCATAATTTTAATCCAAAGTAGAACCCCCCAATTGTAGAATATTGTAATTTTAATATAGTTGTATTAAAATAATGTTTGATTATTCTAATATTTTTGTTACAATATGGTGTGTGATTGTAACAAGATTATGTTAATATCTTACTAACCTATGATTAATATATGATAATAATGAGGGGAATCAAAATTAACATAAATCAAATTTGTGTAAATTTTGATTTATAGAAATCATTTTAAAATATTTTATTTACACCAACCTTTAATTTGAATAAAATTATCAGCAAAATTGATTGATTCGAAGCCTTATTTTATATATTTAACACGTGAGGCTAAAATTTTAAAAATATTATAGGTTGGCATAGTGGAGGACTTTAGGAGTGGTGGAATTAGAATCATACCTTTGAAAGGTAGCTTTCGACATTGAATTATTTTATTTTATTTTTATTTTATTTTATGGAAAGACCGATTGGATTTTCTCTCTCTTTGTTGATTTTTCAGACCATCTAGATAGATCCCCTCTAGGGTGTAGCTGCCACCCTATTACCTTTATTACCTTAAAATATTCTATTTTAGCTCGTATATTTTTAATTGTCTAAATTTAATTTATATATTTTAAATATAATATTTTGGAAATAAATAATAATAATAGTTTTCATGTAGATATTTTAAAAATATTTATTTAAAAAATGCTAAAATTTGTTAATTATTTTCAGCCTATTTGTCTATTTGGACATGCACGACGACAAAGTTGGGCCTGCGAAATGAGCTCACAAGCCCAATGGAAAAAGCCCAAATTTCATGCAGCCCCATTTTGGGCTTTTTCCATTGGGCTTGTCTTTGGGTAAATGATAGCCCAAGAGTTGTGTGTTTTGGGCCTGACCTACTACAAACATTTGATCTCATCCGTCCAATGAATAAAAAATAATCTCAGCCTTTGCTTTCATTGTTTTATAAGCTGCCCTTCTTCTCCAAGCCCTAGTCTTCATCGGCTGAACGTTTTCATTCACTGAGTAGCCGATCGCAGCCTTCTAGCGCCGTTGAGTATGGTTCTCTAACTGCAACATTTCGCCATTTTTCCCTCTCTTTGCTAGTAGTCTTCTCTTTGCTAGTTGTCTTCAATGCTCTGTTTTCGTTTCATTCTTTAGGAATTTTTTGACTTTTGCACACTTCATTTTCCGAATCCTCCGAGGTTCGTGATTGCTTGGTGTAGTTGCCCTGTGGATGACGGAGATGGTTAATATATTACCGGTTAACTTCAGCATTGTTAATCATTTTTGTTTTTCTGATTGAATCCGTTAATTTAAGACTGTTAAGTGGTTGGAGGCTTAGATTAAGAAATTCTTCATATTTTTGTGTTTCGAATTTAAAGCCTAGAAAATGATAGGTGTCTTCGACTTCCGTAGTCAAATCCTTTAATTTGAATTTCCATTTTCGCAATATTCAGTTGCCTCTTAAAATGAATGTTTGGCGCTCTCTGAGGGTTTTCCCCTTGTCTTGTCGTCTTGTTCAGCTAGATTTGTTAAGATGTTTACGGCCCTGAAAAAGATCCACAAGGATAAGGATGTCGAACCTTCCGAGTTCGAAGAGACTGTTGCGCAGGTTTGCTTCATAGAGAACAGAAATCTCTTTGTTTTTTTTACTCAATTGTTAACGTTCCTTTACATTCCTCTTTGTTGGCACTTCCGATGTCTCTGCAGGCGCTCTTTGATTTGGAAAACACCAATTCGGAGCTGAAAAGTGACCTTAAGGATCTTTACATTAATTCCGCTCTGTAAGTGACTTAGAGTTATTTCTAAAACATGTTAATCATGATATAATCATTCTGTTTTTCATTATACTAATATTTACGTCTTTGTGGTTGCAGTCAAGTTGATGTTGCTGGAAACAAGAAGGCCGTTGTTATCTATGTTCCCTTTAGATTGAGGAAGGCATTCCGCAAGATTCAGTTGAGGCTTGTCCGTGAGCTTGAGAAGAAGTTCAGTGGAAAGGTACTAGAAGGTCCATTTTTGCATTAGTTCTCTTTTCACTTCGCAAAAGCATAATCATTTTTAAAGTTTTTATCATTAGTTAACTTGGGACATGAATGTGGTGACATACTTCCTACATTGACTTCATGTGATGGTACGGTGTGAGGAGGTTCATGTCCTACACATTGTTCAATTCATGATATAATACAAATATTGTATCAGTCAGTTTAGACATCAATAATTAGAAAGATGTTCCACCTTTTTTCCCTCTATGTAGGTCATGTAAGGATTGATCGGCGTGTATACAAATGTAGGTCATGTCTAAGCCTTATGTTTTCTTGTGCTAATTTTCTTTGTGACCGCTTGTTAGGATGTGATTCTGGTTGCTAACCGAAGAATCCTGAGACCTCCAAAGAAAGGGTCAGCAGCTCAAAGGCCTCGCACACGAACTCTTACTTCTGTGCATGAAGCAATGCTAGAAGATATCGTTTTGCCTGCAGAAATTGTTGGAAAACGAACCAGATACAGGGTTGATGGATCAAAAATCATGAAGGTAAATGCATGGCTTAGAATACCTTTTCCTCATTTCATCTGTCCAGTTAGTATGGAATTTAGATTGTGAATGTCATCTATATTTGGTAAGTCGTATGCTTTTTCATTGATTTTCTTAAGTAATTGTCGCAACTTCTATGCACCACAACTGAATCCTCATCGATCATTTTATTTACTCTATTGCTCCAGAATATACGATCCTATTTTTTGCATCTACTGTTTAGAGGGTATAATGGATTCACTTGGCTTGTGAGGCTAGGACTGATGCTAATGAATAAAAATCCAAAATTATATTTGTTTGGAATTTCATAGAAGGCCAACCTTCCATTCTCAACTAAACCTAAAAATCCAAAATTATATTTGTTTGGAATTTCATAGAAGGCCAACCTTCCATTCTCAACTAAACCATTACTTATCCTGGTTTTGGTTTCTTCGCCACCAAATGTTCTTGCGATGCTTGGGATCTCAGAATGTATAATTAGATAGGGGCTAGTTTGTGGTGGTGTGCATTTTATTTACACTCTTACACGCTCGGTCTATATATCATAGCACCTATTACGGGTATTTACTCTTTGGTTCTTCTGGGTGCAGGTTTTCTTGGACCCGAAAGAGCAGAACAACACCGAGTACAAGTTGGAGAGTTTCGCTGCAGTTTACAGGAAGCTTTCTGGCAAAGACGTTGCCTTTGAGTTCCCGATTACTGAGGCATAACATCCTTATGCAATGTGATTCCGTTTAGATGCTTTTAGTTGAAAGTCATTCAAATTTTTGATGTTGAGAACGTTGAGTGATGTCTTAGATTCTGTTTTTTTTATAAGATTTTTGATTTGACGAAATGAATTGATTAATAGATTCTGTTATTTAAGTATTGATTGTTGGGAACGAAAAAAACAATCTCAGGCCGGGAAAAAACTTATGTGAACTTCATTAATTCTGTTAGTTTCTCATGTTTATTTATTATTTTTTAAAATTTTAATTGCACTATGGAATATGATGAAAAATGGAATGAGCTTTTGTTGATGATTTTAGATTAAAACTTAAAATTCATAATTTTATGAGGCAAATTAGAAAAGATTAGGACAATTTTAATTTATACTTTAGGTGTAAAATTTTGTTAGGAAAACGTGAAAATTGTTTGAGAATGTGTAACTTATTTATTCTAGTTTCTGAGTGTTATTTTCATTATTAAATAAATTTATGTAATTCAACCACTAATAGATTTTTTTGAAGGTAAATTTTAAAAAAATTCTAATATCTAAAAACTAGATGACACATAATTGGTCTCGAATACAAAAACATATGTAACAGAAAGAAATATAAAATTTTGCTCCCGATGAAACGACCCTTACTCCTATCACCCAAAAATGAAAAGAATTAATGTAGCTTTCTAGATACTATGCACAGCTGAAGCAATTCACCTGCCTTCATCAATTGAAGAAATGGACATGGAGTTTCTTGAATAATCCTCTACCAAACTACTACTCGCAGAAGCTCTGGTGACGCCAGTTTGAGTACTGGTAGTATTTGTCTTGGTGAATGCAGAAGTAGAGGTAGTTGTCCGAGGTGCTGCTCGACCATGAAGTCCAGGTTTCCCGGGGCGCGGCAACGTGAATGAATCACTGGAAAGCATGAGATGAATGGTGTTCATATCAGGCCTATCTGAAACACTCGCTTGACAACATAGCAAACCCAACTGAACGCACATAGCTGCCTCATCTGCATTGCATTTTGTTAGGCTCTCATCAGCTAATTCCAAAATCTTCCCATCTTGGTAAAGCGACCATGCCTGTTGAAAGACATATTTGTTTCGGTACTTCATTCCTTTTCTAAAGAAACCTCATGTCATTTCAGTAATAATAGACAGTAACTTACATATCCCAATAGGTCCGCCTGTTGAGCACCAAGCCGATCATCGTGATTTTTTCTTCCACTAACAATCTCCAATACCAAGATTCCAAAACTGAAAACGTCACTCTTCACAGATAAGTATCCATGAATTGCATATTCAGGAGCCATATAGCCACTGTATGAAGTGAAAATAAAAAGAAATATATAATTATTATGCATAAGATAAAAACCAAGTAATGAAGAAAACTACTACTTACTAAGTGCCAGCGATCTTAAATGTATTCAAATGTGTATCATCCCCAGGAAAAAGCCGGGCTAATCCAAAATCAGAGATTTTCGGATTCAACTTCTCATCTAATAATACGTTACTGGCTTTGATATCTCTATGTATAATTCTTGCAGGAGCCTCTTCATGTAAATAGAGAAGACCTCTCACGATACCTGTAATTATATGGAACCGTGTTGTCCAATCCAGGAATGGAGACCTCTTTTTATCTGTCAATATTGTCAACATAATTAAGATGCATGTAAATCTCCACATTACAATTAGAAAAATTCACGAATTCCTCCTAGAAGGAGTTCTTACCAAAAATAAAATAATCGAGGCTTCTGTTTGGCAGAAACTCATATACAAGCATCTTTTCAGGCCCTTCTACACAGCAGCCCAATAAAATGACCAAATTTCGGTGCTGAATTCGCAGTAAAAGTTTCACTTCATTACTAAATTGCCTCACTCCTTGCCTAGAATCTACCGATAGTTTCTTGATTGCTACTTGTTGGCCATTTGGCATCAACCCCTGTATATTTAGCAATTCTAGTTACAATAGATCAGCATCCCTACAATGTCCCCTCAAGAACAAGAGGAAAGAGTGATTTGGACATCGAAAAGAATCAAAGCCAGAGGGCAAAAGGCGGCTGCTTAGAACTTAATAGCCTTCAGGTCAAAATCACAGAGAATCTAAAAGTTTGTGTTTCAAAATAATTCTAAAACAGCTCGCTAATCTTTCTAGATCACTTATCTACGGTTCTAACTTGTAAAACTAAATACTTGATTATTCAGTTTTTGACTTTACCATCTTGGCAACAATTAAATAAACCAACTATATCAAATTTTTAAATAGATGAATAATTCAAATTTTTGCCTCAGACCCATGACCAGAGAATAAAAACATAAACATACGACGGCCTTAAAATAAAATAGTAAAATATAAGCAGTCAACACTATCAGAACATAGGAAAGTCCGTTGAGAACCGAACTGTCATTTTCCAACGCTCTTAAATCAGTTAATCAGTATATGTCCTCTTATGCTCAGTGCAATTATAAATTATAATACATAAATAATCTCTATCATCATCATCATCATCATATATATATATATATACACGAACAAACTGCGACAAATTTGATATTCGAAGTTCAGGTAATTAACTATTGCCAATTGACATGGAGCTGCTCCGAAACCCTAAGAAAAATGGAAGAAGGGAAAACTTCCATGCCGGCAGAATTATCGTCTATGGGTTTCATTAACATCGAAACTCAAAGTCTAAGTTATCTAACATTTGAGAAATGCTTAAATAAACATCAGATTACAGATGGCTAGATTTGCGACCAATCAGCACTTGGAATTTAAAAAATACAAAACTACTCTTGCATCGGAAACATCCAATTAGAACCACAGTTCAGGAGCGGAGCAGATATATTCCTTCAGGGTCGATAAATGAGAAAACACTAACAAAACGAAGAAATTCAATATTCCAACTTCCAAGAATAATGCTCAGTGCAATCATTAGATCAGAACAAACAAATCATACCTTGTACACCGGTCCAAAACCTCCATGGCCGAGCTTATTCACCTCAGAAAAGAAATTAGTCGCAATTTGCAAAGCACTGAGTTCAAAGAAGATGTCAGTGGATACATCTTCATCATCCGCTTCATCGGCACTCGCTGAATTAGCTGCTTTGAGCTTCTTCAAGCAGGCGCAAATAGAAGACAAAAGGCCCATCGAAAGCATCCAAAAAACGCCGCCAGAACTCCGGCGATTGCGCCGGCAACGATCGGTCAAGTTCACACCAGAACCAGAGAGCCAATGAGAGAGAAGATGGTACGGAGTTGAACTTCTCACGCCAACTGTCAAACTGGGTTTTCCATTAATGGCTGCCTTAAATACGAATAGCCCAAAAGTCCCGCTTAGATTCTATATATATATATATATATATATATATATATCTATATATTGGTGTATTTTCCTCCGGTAATTATATAACTTGACTTTTTATTTACCTTTATTTTTTAATTATTTTATTCCATCCATTATGATGGAATTTCGAAGCCAAAACACATTGCCGTCCGATAAAATAATGATAGTGGTTGGGTAGAAAATAAATAAATAAATAAATAATTTGTATAACATCTTAATTGAAATTCAAATGTTTAAGATATCTTTAAAAAGAAAAAAAAAAAGAAAAAAAAATTCAACACGTTTGTCCAATGAAGGGTCAATTTGAAAAGTTTACCATGACGTTTCTCATAAACGTGCATATACACGTTAATACATTTTTCTTTTTTTCTTCTTTTCTTTATTTCTTTATTTTTTATTAAATGGAAAAATAACGAGAATTAAAAGAAAAAGGATAACTAATTAAATACATTTTTCCAAAAAGAAAGAAAATAAAATTACACCTGTGTTGCGTTTTTCTCTTCTGCTCCGCCTTGCCCGACGCGCGAATCCACCATTGAAGATCCCCTCGTCTTTGCTGTGGAGCTTACTGGTCGGAGTAATGATCTAGTTTTTCAGATCAAGGAAAATGATTATCTTTATCTCGAAAGGAAAGCGAAGGTGACGAGAGTTATCTTCAAAAGGAAACATAATGAGATCTTCTTCGGAGAGAATCAACATCGCCGCTAGTACCCGGCGCCTCAATGTTGATAACCGATTTCCTCTTCGTTATTACTATCGAGTTGCCGATAATGTTTTGAAACAGGTAATTCTGCCTCTTGGATTTCGCTTTCCAATTTTGCATACCTATGTAAAATTGAGATTGCTTTGATGAGCGTTTAATTTCGAAGGGGTTTTAATTGCTTATCCTTTTTCCATTCCTAAATATTACTCGATCTTGTAGTTTGTTCTTGTGGATACAGCTTCATTTAATCCAGTAATGGAGCGAAGCTTTTTGAAATCTTTTTTGTAAAATATTGTTCTTATTAAACTACCGAAGTGCCTTGGGGGCAATCAAAACGCTGGCCGTCAATAATTAACAATGTTATCCCGAGTCGATAAGCAAAAAACAGTGATTTATGTAGAGAATTTTATGATTATGTTGAATGCTATATAGGGTATTGGACGAGCTGCTAAGCAGCTTGAAGTTAGGCTTGCAAAGTTTTGTAACTTTTGATTTGACAAAAAGCAGATTTTTGTTCGGTTAAAAATGGGTGTTTTAACAAAGAGGAGGTGGTTTGTTTTTAAGGTATATGTCATTACTGAATCGAGTATGTAATTCCTTGCCTGTTTGACTTCACGTTCTTGTTCTCTTGTCCAATTAATTGACCGTCTAACAAAATTTTTACGTTACAGGCTGACATCTTTCGAGCAGAGAAGAACATAATTGATCTTTATGTCATGTTAATGAGATTTTCAAGGTAAAAAACTAAAACTAACGCCATCAAGTTCTAAAAAATCTTTGATGTTTAATTGACATTTTGGTCTCCTGTTTTTGTATTTGGTGTTATTATTATTAGCCATTATGTTGTTGTCTGCTCTAAGTCTGCAATTACCTTGTCTACTCACCTATTCAAGAAATGGAAGATTGGTTTTCTCTCCATTATTTGTCCTTTTTTTTGCCTGACAGTTTGTAGTTTGTGAGCTACAGGAGGAAATTTAAGGGAGCTGCCTTTCTTTAACTGCCCTTCTGATTGGATTATTTTAGGTCCTCAATTCAATATCAAGAATAACCCTACATACATTTGGTTTTTTCATGCATCAGTTTGGTCACTGAGACAATACCTCGTCATTGGGAGTATGGGACATCTCTTAAATCTCAAAAAAATTATTTTAGAAAGGTAAATGCTGCCTTTGATGTAAATTACGAGCCACTGCATTTATGTTGGTCCACTTCATCAACTTGGTTTGTTTGTACAGAAACTATTAAATGCTTTGAGCGAGCTTGAAGAATTGAAGCCATCGGTTCAAAGAAAGGTGGATGAAATAAATGGGAAACAAAAATATCAAGTCAATGGGCGGGGTAATCAGCATCAAAATGGTTCATCGGATTGGCATTCGGGTGGAAAGCAACATCTTATTGATAATGGCACGGCTAGGGTATAATCGTGTTGTGACCTAAATTTATATCTCCTTTCAAGAATTTGTCCACTGTCCTTTATGATAACACAGCAAAGTTATACTGTTATTTATGCTCCATGAAAAAATAAAAGAATTTTTTTTTTATGTATTTGCTATCTTCTCTGACAGGCTGGTAGATCAGCTGCTACAGAAATTGCTCTTCAGGGTTCAGGGCCTCAGCAATTTTCGTATTCCAGGTCCATGAATGAGAATTTCTGCAGTTTATGCATGTCGAAATGTTTTGAATTTTTTTTTTATTTTAATTCTTTTATTTATGACATATCTTTCTTTCTTTCTTTTTTAAATTTTTTAACGCATTACCTTTTTAGCTCCCACTTGGTGTACAGTGCCCCCCTGTTGTAGTTATAGCTTAAATAACTTGATAACCCTATGCAAAAACCTTTTGTAGTTTCTTGGGATCAGGACCCCTCTTTTGTTATTTCATCACATCAATGAAATTGTCTCTTATCTAAAAGAATTCTAATTCTTCTATTGAATATCAATTAAGTTTACCATAGATTGCACCATTTTTTAATTCATGCTAGCATTGCAGAAATATTTGTTCTTTTAACGAAACATTAAGTTCATTGTTCTAATCTTGTTAACAAATATGGTTGATCTCGATACTATATGAATTTTTGTTTCCCTCATTCCAGTTGTTTGTATTGTTGTAGATCTATTCATATTCCACTCCCAACAGAGGAAACATTATCCCGCCATTCTATTTTGGGTCCCAATGGGCTTCATGGCAAGTGGCAACCACCTATCGTTGATAAAGGGGTATTTTCAGACTAAGCATTTTCTTTCTAGATTTCCTCAGAAGCATACTGATAGATATTGTCAATGTAGGTCCAATATCCACGTATTTTGGATCTGTCTCCCGTTGAAATTCCAAGGTTCGTCTTATAATCAACTTTCAAAAAGATACAGGTTTTAGTTACCTGCAACTACATTGAATCTTTACAATGTACTCAAGTCATCACCCAGTATGTCTATATGTACAATCAAGTTCTTACAGTTTCCTGTCCTGCATCCATGCTTCTGATTTCTAGTAACTAAACACTTTATTGTCATTATATTTTTGTTTCACACAGAGGAATTTACCTCTATTGTGTTGTATGTAACATCTATTTTCTCTATGTTCCATATAAACAGCTTACAACAGTCAATAGAAACCAAACTTACAATAGAAAAAGATCTTGGAAACTTGGAAAAAGAAAGACCTGATATAGACTCAATCTGCACCGAGGATAAGGATTGCAAGATAAATAATGCCATGGAAACAGATTCCTTGATCTCCTTTGAAAAAGTTGAGATGCCTGCCCCTGTTGAAATTGTCCGACAGCCTTCTCCTCCACCTGTGCTTGCTGAAGTACAGGATTTGATACCTGCAATGTCACCTCAAGTTCCCGAGGTAGAATGTGCACAAGACACTTCATTGTCGGATGGTTTTGTTCATCCAGAAGCTTCAATGCAATTGCACATCGTGAGTTACTGATCCTTGTTTTTGGTTCGTTTTATAGGCCTTATATTTTTCAGTTTTTTCTGGAATAGCTGGCAAATTATGAAAAGAGAACCAGCAGTAAAGATAGCAAGTCCTACCTGTTATGTGCTAAATTATGTATGTATGAGATACCTGTTTTTTTCCGCTCTCTTTTTTTTATATATCTTTATATTCTTTCATTTTTACTCCATGAAAGTGTGGTTATTTATAAAAAAAAAAATGTATATGAGATAATTTAGTTTTTTATGCTGAATATTTTGAAATTTAGGGACATCTTGTCTGGATGAAGGTTTTAATTTATGTTTCATTATTGCAATTTCTCTTGCAGTCGACCAAGATGATGGAGAGCTTCATGAGGCTAGCCAAGTCAAATACTGCCAAGAATTTGGAAACTTGTGGTATTCTTGCCGGTTCGCTTGTATGTTTTGCTACTTCTATGAACCTGCACGTTTTTGCAATTGTTAGCATTACTGGCTGTATATTTGTAACACTAGATTAAAGTTTAACAAATTATCCTCTTTTTGCAGAAAAACAGAAAATTTTATATCACTGCACTCATCGTACCAAAGCAGGAATCAACACCAAATACTGTATGTCTATTTCATGCTTGTCTATTAGACACTGTTTCATTTACAATACATTCATCTAATGAGTATAAACTACTGAACTATCAATCATCTAATCATCAGTGTCAGGCGACAAATGAAGAAGAGATATTTGACGTGCAGGATAAGCGCTCTCTATTCCCACTTGGGTGGATTCATGTAAGAATTCTGGTTTCTTACAGTAGTTGATTGTCTTATTATTCTACTTGGGATTGTTTTATTAGCATGTTTTTTAGGTCTCATTTTGCAGGACTTCTTCTGATGTCTTCGATGAATGGAATTCATTTTCAAGTTGAAGTCTATATATATTATATATTTATTTCCTTTCAAGCATGTCACATTTTTGAAATAGATTCTATCTTGTTAAAAATAACATTTCTATCTATCTTATCGGCTTCCAGATTGAAAATACAACTGCATGCCAAAAATACGTAATGTAATATCTCACGTCTTCAAAGGTCTTCAGTTTCATTATCAGTATGTGAAGGATATTAGTTGCTTCAGGGTATTTGTTATCAGTCCATCATGTTAATCTTTGAGTTGTGTACTAGTATTCATTAAAAACATATCAATTGCACTAATAAATTCTATCAAGGAGAATAGTTATGAGGATCAGTTATTGACATTTTCTATAATTATTATTATCGTTGTTGTCTTTGTTATACCTTTGATAGAAACAAGAAGAGATGATAAATAGACCACGGAAGACAAGGTATCC